CCTTCCTGATTTTAAGCCATGCAGTGTCCCCTTGTTCTGTTCAAACAACAGCCTCTTGATCTTTGTACAGGTTCTTCATAAGCATAATGAAGATGACAGCCTTGGACACCCTGGAATTCCCATTCTTTGCAATATTGTCCATAATTTGTTATGATTCAGTCAAATGCCTTTGCACACTCAATAAAACGGAGGTGAATATCCTTGGTAGCCATCAAAGAATGCTTCTTTCCCTGTGAAAACCTTCTCTTGACTTTTTACAATAGCACTCTCAGACAGTAGTTGTCCTTTTGTGATTGAATGATTTCACTCAGCGTAATGTACTCCAGGTCCATCCACGTTGTGAGAAGTTTCCTGGATTCATTGTTATTCTTTAACATTGCGTAGTATTTCATTGTGTGTGTGTACCATAGCTAGTTTATCCACTCATCCACTAATGGACACTTAGGTTGTTTCCATCTCTTTGCTATTGGGAATAGTGCTGCGATGTACATGGGTGCACATATATCTATTCCTGTCATGGCTCTTATCTCTCTAGGATATATACCTCTTAGTGGGATTGCTGGATCATATGGTGTCTCTATTCCCAACTTTTTAAGGAAATGCCATAAATGCTTCCATTTTTTAATTGATAATTCTACTGAGAACTCATCTCATAGTTAAGGCATTGAGCTAAGGAGGGGGCTGTGAAGGGAAGAACAAAGACTCCAATCCAGGGAGGTAACTGTGATCATTTTCCTAAGGGAAGGTTGGACTAAGTGCTGTGGGTTCCAGGCAGGAGTACACACTCCTGGTTGGGAGAAAACAGAGAAAGCTCCTCGGAGGAGGCAGCACAGATGTTGGCAGTCTTGAAGGGTACAGGGTGCTCCTGGGAGAAGGGCACCATAAACACAGGGGATGTACCTGACTGGGGATACCTGTGGATGAGGGCAATTGGCCTTTGACCAGCCACACAGAACTCAATCCTCTCACTGGGGGTGGGGCCTCACCTTCACCCTCTTTTCACCAAACTCAGACCCAGTGTCATGGGGTTAAGAGTTTAGGTTGGGGAGTTGCAGTCATGAGTTGGGGTTATGTACTGGCTAAGAGACTTTGAAGGGGCAAAATAGTAAACCACCCACTCCTAACTGAAAGGTTGGTGGTTTGAACCCACCAGCTGCTCCACTGCTCCACAGGAGAAAGATGTGGCAGTCTGCTTCCGTAAAGATGACAGCCTTGGACATCCTATGGGGCTGTTCTTCTTTGTCCTGCAGGGTTGCTATGAGTTGGAATTGACTCAACAGCACACAGTAACCACAAGAGACCTTGAGCAGTTCACTAGCCCCTCTGAGCCTCAGCTTCCTTCTCTGTTGAACAGAGCTAGTCAAACCCCAGCTCATGCGATTGGCATGAGCATTAGGTGAGATGATGCCTATTAAGCATTTAGCACAGAGCACGGCCCACAATGAGCACACAGTCAAAGGCAAACCTTCTCAGCTATTACTACTTAACAAGCCACATGCAACTTTGGGGCTCAGCCATATCCAAGAGGAATAGTGCAGACCCACCAGCCACCCAAGGCTAAGTGCAGGAGCTGTGTCAAGAAGGCCAGTATTTGCAGCTGGAGCCCTGGCCCAGCTTGGGCCAGTGGGTGATACTGATGCAAGATACACACCCCACTAGCAAGTTGTGCTCAGACCCACTGCTGTGAGACCCCTGCACTGGGGGTCCCAGGTCACACTCCAGAAGGAGCATCTCTGGCCCCTGACTTGCAGAGGTCATGTTTGCTTCCTACCACAATGGGAAAGACAGGTTGAAAAGGCCATGGTGACACAGTGAGGGAGCACTTGTCATAGTGCCAGACAGACTGTGGTGCAGGTCAGACCCAGTCTCCAAATGGGCAAGTGGCTTCCCTTCTCTGGGACTTGGTTTAAACAACAGCCAAGTGACAATAATAAAAATTACATTTGCCCATGACCTTGAACTATCACTGTAACTGTGTCCTGGCTCTGATCCCTTGTCAGGTCCCTGGATGGCGTGGTGGTTTGTGCTGAGCCACTAACCAAAGGTTGGTAGTTTGAATCTACCCAATGGCCCCACAGAAGAAAGGTTTGAGGACCTGCATCTGTAAAAATAATGCTTCAGCTAAGAAAACGTATGGTCCCCGTAACCCATAGGGTTGCCACGAGTTGGAATGGTTTCCTTGGCCCTGGGTTTGGCTTTTGGTTTTGGGTACCTTGTCTGTAAATGAAGGCTGGGGGGATGAAATGGGAGACATGGAGGAAATAACTAACTTTTCTTAATTATGATAACAAAACATTAGAAACAACCTAAATGTCTACTAGTGGATGCATTAAATAAATTATGGGACGTCCAAAGAGTTGCATATTATGCAGCCATTACTACAAGGACTAATTTTGTACAATATTAAATGATGCTGAAAAAAATCCTCATCTCTGTAGAGTGAAGATATCAGAATATACGACTAGATAATAGCATCCCCAATACACAACATTTGTAATTCATTAATTAAAGCATCTGTCTGTGGGTGACTCTATCTAAGGAAAATGGCTAGGTGGGTTTTCATCAGAATGATGAATGAGATTGTCTGACCTAAAGTTGAGGTTTGTGGCACCTGTGAAATTCACTCTGGGAAGTCCACAGAATACCCCAGGAGGATGGACCTCTAATCCTTCAGGTGAAGCTGAGTGAGCCCACAGGGCCTGGGAAGGAAGGGCTGTGCTGTTCATGTCCTCGTTCCAAGGTGAGCCCCAACTGGGGGATCCCAAGGGTAGACCCTCTGAAATGGAGGGAGGAGGATACCCCGGAGGTGCAGGGCTGACCCTGGTTAATGATTCT